AAATCAAAGAAGACTATCACTGACCCACACCAGATGGAAAACTCTACAGACTGTCGGTTCACACCCCATCACAAGCCAGCAAAACACCCATGAAACAAAGAAAGGTCTGTCACAGCCAAAAAATACACTCTAGACACGCCGCTGGCACTAGAGGCGCAACATGGCTGCGTAGTGACGAAATCCAGATTGTAGTAGAGGCTGGATGCTAGGCCTCGGGAGGTGCCTGTCGTTGTACTCGACCAGTGGGGAGATCAGATGGCTTGTGACAGCCCCAAGGACAGTCTCCTCCAGGGGGCATCATTCATGAACCTTTTTTTTGTCCTAATCACATCGCAAGTCGAGCCCTACAGTGGTGTGACCCAGACCTGCCTTTGGACCTAGACCTACACCAACCCGCGCCTTTTGAGGGTCTCGGACGAGTCCCCCCCATGCGCTACCATAGGGACACCCTGAATTCTCAAGGACGACCCGGACACAAGAGGGCTCATAGGTATGTGGTCATTCCCCACCTGTATGACATCTAGCGGACTCTATGGGTGTCTACCACCCTCTACTATCAATGCGACAACCCACCCTCCCCTGCCTAAGATGAGACCCTACCCAGAGACTCTTCCCCAGACTCACGCCCCAATCGACCCCCTCAATGGGAACGTAGACAGGTACCTACCCGGATGAAGCCCAGCCAGCAAGCATCGTAAGATAACGGCCCGCCCTTGGGAATCGTATATGCGTAACACCCAACCCCTACCACTACTCAAGGGGGGTGTAGAGAGCGGAGCCGGACCGGGACCCGAACTGTACAATGTAAGTATGGACTCTTGCCGGTGTACCATGAGGTCGGGAAACTACCATGGTACCCAGTCACACCCATGACACACCCACAGAGCAGTGCATATGGCGCACACAGTCAGATCCACAATCTCTACACAAATTCCTACCTAACCTAATCTAGACCTATGACCTCTACCCAACCTAACTCCTGTACCCCACCCATGGTGAGTACACGAGACATGACCAGAGATCATTGGACCACACACAACCCATACACAAACACACACATGCACACTCGTCAGACCACCCCAAGGCACACACACAAACACACACATGCACACTCGTCAGACCACCCCAAGGCCAACCACTCAAACAGCCCTCCCCCCAAGGCCTGCTACCAGCATACTGCAACCATGGACTAACCCCTTGGGTGGTGCGCAGGCAGTGTCTGTAAATAGGACCATGTGTCAGCCCAAAGGGGGGTGTGCGAATGGCAGTACGTCGGTCGACGCCCCCTGGTGGCCTATGTGCAAGAGTGCAGGCTCAAAGATTTGAACCTGCGCCCTAATACCACAACGCACATTTCTAACCAGTGCTCTAACCACTGAGCCACTGGCCATTCACTGCAACCTCCCTTTTTCTTTTTTTTTTTTAATACACAAAGCCCCTTCTATTCTGGGGGGCATCAGTCTGGTTGCTTATTACCAGCAAGCAAGGAGGCACAAGTGGTAAAGAGAAAGCAAGGAACAACCTTTCCCTTGTGGCACTAGACGCCTAACAAGGGGGGACTGCTATGAGTCGACCCATCTGCTGGCCGGGGGCTTATTGGCAGCACCCAGTCACGCAGCAGACAGATCCCAAGGGAGGGAGGGTACGAGGGGGTGCTCGTAGCAGTCTCTCAGGCCGCATGTATCGTCCCTTCCTTCAAACTTCCGAAAGCCTTGTTGCTCAAACCATCCTTCTACATTATCTATGCCTATGTTACAACATCCCTTTCCTTACCTGTCCACCTCCTTTATTCCTCTCACCTTGTCTCCCCACACTTTGTTCCTCTCCTCACCTTTACTTCATCACCTATCCTGCCTCTATGCTCCCCTATCCCGCTTAACTCTCCTCTGTTCTCATATCCTGCTTTTCAGAGGTTCACCCCAGCTTTTCCCGATTTTCCAGTTTTAATCCAGTTTTTATCTTCTAAGCTTTCTTTTCTTTCTTTGTTTATCATTTTTTTCATCCCCATCCCCGTCCCTGTCCCTGTCCCCGTCCCCGTCCCTGTCCCCGTCCCCGTCCCAGTCCCCGTCCCCGTCCCCGTCCCCGTCCCCGTCCCCGTCCCCGTCCCCGTCCCCGTCCCCGTCCCCGTCCCCGTCCCCGTCCCCGTCCCCGTCCCCGTCCCTGTCCCCGTCCCCATCCCCGTCCCCCCACCATCTATCCTCCATCCCCCTCCCCTGTGCGTCCCCTATTATGGTACATCTGTCACCCCTATTTGTACCTACGTAACTAGCCTTCGTTCCTATTTTACAGCTATTTTGCAGCTATTCTGCAACTATTCTACGCCTATAGCACCTGAGTATGGGGACTTGAACTGGAGTATCATCCCTGTTCCGGTTTCCTTTCCGGCCGAGGCACCTGGTGCAACAGAACTGGGCCCAACTGCATCTGACCCGTATGTGGGTCCCGGGTCAGCAATTGCGGATACTGGCCCCATCTTTCCCAGAACGCCTTCTCCATGCCTTCTCCTACATATCTACAGCAGCGAAAGTCTGCCAGCAGGGTTATCCTCAAGTTTTCCATCATTCTTTCCTTGTATGCCTGCAGTGGCGGCGTCACTCCTTGCCTCCATCTGTCTTTTCATAATGTCCACAGGGCCGGCAACACCGCCGCTCGAACCATCTCTGCCGATAGCAGGTTCCCGAAGCTTGGCCTATATACCTTCATCAGCGTTCCCAGGAGGATGGCTGCGTCATCCATTTTGGTGATGTCCAATGGTGTCTTGTCCGCGACCTCTTGCGCCCACCATGTCCAGACCGCCCTATCTTCCGGGCATCGCACAAACATATGTAGGATTGTCTCCACCTGGCTGCACCCTGCTACGCATAGCTGGTTCTTGTGTCGGCTCTTAGTGGCTAGCCATTGCGCTGTCGGGATCGCCAAGTGATACAGCAGGCCCACCTGTTTCTGATCTGGCAAAGCTGTCAAAATAGCGCACTGCTCATTCCATCTCCGCTGCGTCCATCGGTTGAAGAGGACATCTGGGAGCCAATCGCTCTTGGCCCACCGGTTCTTCAGCTCCCCACAAATGTCGATTGGCTCCAACAGAAAATTATACACATTTTTCGTGGTCAGTTCTTGCAGTGGCGTGGCCTCGTTGTGCATCCTCTGGGGTGGGCATTCCCACTCCCTCGGGTCCCACGTCCGATCCCGCAGCCTGGATGCCAACCGGAACGATCAGTATTGCCCCTCTCCCTTTTTTCCCCTTCACAGACTGCCACTATTTCCACCACATTTCTTGCCAAAAATCCCCACCCGCACCCTCCCCTGTGTCCTCACCTCCTGTAGCGGTTCCCCTAATGCCTCGTATCCCAGTCCCGGCCTCACTGTCCATTCGACAATTCTAGTCTATCATCCTGGGGGCCCTGTTCCACCTGGTACACCCTGTCCGGGCCCACATTTTCTCTAATCTTCACCCATTCTCCTGCCGTTATTTCATTTGTCTTCAACAGGTCGACCCATTGGGGGGGGATAGCCTCCCTCATCACTCTCACCCTTTGTCTCTCTTTCTCATTCGCCCTCGCAGGGCTACCTCCATTTCGGTATCCGTGCGCCAGTCTTTCCGGTCTTCATCCCAAAGGTGGCCCACCTTATGGACTCCTTGCTCTGCCCATTTCCAGCCGTAGGTCCCTTGCGGCCCCCACCATGAGAACGGTTCCCCAGTCGGGTCACAGACAAAACTGTTGTCAAACAGCAATTGGTTGAAGACTGCATCCGCTGTTTTCGGCAGCCGGCATCTCAGATTCAGTTTTTTCCACAGTGTGACAGTGCCAATTTTGTGGTCCATACCGACTTTCTGCAGATGTGGCCTATCGCCGAGCTGCAGAGTAAGCATAAATCCACTACTTGTCTCGGTATCTGGAGTGCATTGGCCAGGCGAGTCTGAGTAACTCCATGCCAGGTCTCTCCTTCCGTGCGCAGCAGGGCCCAAATCAGCTGCCACATTTGCAGTCGCGGGTCCAGCAATCCCAAGCCACCAAATTGTCTCGGTTGAATCAGTTTGGTCCATGCCACCCTGCAAGTAGAATCCTTCGCTTCAGTATTGTTGGACCACAAATGCGTGTGGATTGCTTTCTTGATATACCTAAACGTACGTCTGCCTGGCATGTGCACGGCCCCCGCGTACCACAATGTGGCCAACACTGAGTTCTTAATGACTAGGGACTTGCCAAACATGCCCATGCTCCCTCTTGCACTCCATGCTTTGAACCGGGCAACCGCTGCCGTGGCACGCATCGCCATCTGCTCGACGCCTCCATAGCTTGGTGTCAGATTTGCCCCCAAGGCGGCCATTTTTTTTCCCTCTGTCACTGTCGGGATGTCCCATCCCTCTGGGGGTTCCACCCCCAGTGAGAGGATGGCCTTTGACTTTGGCCAATTAACGCGCGCTCCCGAGTATCTGCAGAAGGTTGCAAGGTTTTCTTTTAGGATTCGTAGCTGCTGGGTGGTTGGGGCGATCAACGTTCCCGTGTCATCCGTGAAAGCCGTAGATCGCAGCTCGGCTGTTGGGCCCGTCTTCAAGCCTATCACCCGATCGTCTGGCCTCAACAGTTCGTGTAGCGATTCGATGTAAATAACATAGAGGGCCGGGGACAGTGGGCACCCCTGCCGAACCGAATGGGTGACTGTGAGTTTGTCCGACCTCACCCCGTTGACTTGCATCACCATCATGGCTCCCTTCAGCAGGCTCCTGATCCAACCACAAAAAAATCCACCCATTCCTCGTCGTGCCATTCCTTGCAGCAGAAACTTCCACCGTACCCTGTCATAGACTTTTTCCAAGTCGATACAGACGAAGGCCACGGCTTGGGCCTGTATGCTGCTCTTCTTCCAAGATCTGCTGCACCAGGAGCACGTTGGACAGGATCTGACGCCCTGCCACGAAGCCCTTTTGGGTGTGATCAATAATACTCGGCAGGACTTCTTTCAGGTGGGTTGCCAGCACCTTGGCCGGTATTTTGTACAGCGCGTTCAAGATAGATATTGGGCTCCAGTTGCGCACATCTTCCTTAGCCCCCTTCTTGTAGAGCAGGATCCCATATGCGTTCGTGAAACCCCGTGGGAAGGAGCCTTGTCTCAGTGCTTCATCGTATGCCGCTGTCAGCAAGATCACGAAGAAATTGCGAAGGTCTCTATACAATTCCACCGGCATTCCGTTCAGCCCGGCCGCCTTGAGTCTGGGGATCTCTGCTATTGCCCTCTCCACCTCCTCCAGTCTAACTTGTTCGTCTAATTTACATGTGCTTACCAGGTCCAAGCGTCTCTGAACGTGTTTCCAAATGTGTTGTTCCGGCTCCTTAGCCATGTCCGCCGGTGTCCACCGTTCCTCCTCTGTCAGCTGTTGGCTGTAGAATTCCGGAACGTACTTCAGAATACCCCGTGTGATGCGCTACCTCCCCCTTCTTTTTCTTATAAGTTATAACTGATCAGAACAGATACTCTCACTTGATCTTAGCCAAAATGCCGAGAAAGGTATATTCCCCCCACCCCACCTCCCTTTTTGCTCACATTTAGGTAAGCTGCTAGATTTTCTTGGCTTGGAATTTTCCCTCACCTCCTTCAACACTTCCTGCTGCTTGCTCTCAATGACCTGATAAGCCTCATGGCATCCTCATCAGGCCCTCAGTGATAGCAGCCCCTGGCTTTCTGTCAATTGTCGAAAAGATGAGTCTGCATAGTCCCAGAGTGAAAACTCTGCATTTTCTGAGCAAGTTGCTGTCTTTGATCTGTTTTGCTGAGGCTTCCGAGTGTGAATCAACTTTGCCATGTTTTTCTGAGTCTGTGTGATCAGCTGATGATATATGTATCCCCCTGTGTTGGCCTGAGTTTAAATCTATGTCCCCATGCTACCTCCGTGGCACCGTGCCGTGTTTATCAGCCACTAATGGGCATAGGTTAACATATAGGGGTAGTTGCAGGGATAAACCTGAAACTTGGCTGCAGCTCAGGAGGCAGAACGGAGGACTTACCAGAAACCTAGAAACGATGGGGATGGAAGAAAAATTTGCCAGGGACCTGCTAGGTATTTTCCAGCAACATGGAGAGGTCCTGGAGTCCACTAGGGTTAGCAGGTAGGCAGTGATGGTATCAGGACTTCACCAGGTCATGTTTAGGTATAGGTACGGAGAATGTAGATGGGATTACTGTCTGTCAAGAAGGCAGGGAACTGGTAGGCCGAAGTGCACTGATAGAGGCTGAGGGATCCCGAATAGAGGGTCCAGGGGCCGGGGGTAAGTGTATATTATTTGGTTGCGTGAATCGTATGGGTCATTCACCTGGCAGTCTTGCTGCTGCTCCGCCAAGAGAGTGAAGAGAAGGAGCTCAACAGTGAGCAACAAGGAGTTGAGCGTGATGGAGCATAGCTCCATGGCTATGAAAGAGAGGAAGCTGAGTGCCCAGCTATATGGAGGGAGTGGTTGTAGAGGCCCAAAATGGCCTAAGGAGATAGGAGGGATTCTCCTGCTGTGTGTGTGTGTGTGTGTGTGTGTGTGTGTGTGTGTGTGTGTGTGTGTGTGTGTGTGTGTGTG